GAACATGAAGGCAGAGTTTAGGGTAGTGTATCAACCCAAGAACACTCTAACATAGGAACAAGCTAAGAAGGATCCTTCCCTGATGCCATCAGCTGGAGCCTGGAGCACAACAGAACTGATTTCAAATGCACACCATTCGGAATGCTGAGAGAGTAAGTTTTTATTATCTTAAGGTGCAAAGTCTGTGCCATATTGTCAGAGCACCCTTAGGAATATGTTTCTTTTCACACACACAAAAAAAAGAAGAATATGATTCTTGGAGAAAACCTAGTTGAATTAGAATCATCTTGTTTTGTCATTTCTCAGCAATCTTCACAAAGCTGACACTATTTCTGACTCATTCATCATTTACCCAGCTCCATGAGCAACAGATGCTCAACTAGACATAAGTGTGCAAATGAATGAGTGAATGACAAAAATATTATTTGAAGGAACAGAATTCTTTAAAAACAATTGTGTTATTCAGGAAGTTATCAAAACACATCAGAAAAGATTATTTTTGCACAAGCCAAAGCACCAGATAAAAAATTCTGCTTAATTTTTAAAATGTTTAAATTTTAAATAAAGGACAGTTGTTTTTTAATAAATTTGAGTTTAAACATCTTCTTCTGATTATTTAAATTCAAAGGGACATCTTAGGAGGTGGTCATGATTTCAAATTTGTTCAAAACCCAACAGATGATACTACAACTATATTCACATTTTATGTCTAACAAGATCAGCACATAATGGTTGGAAACCTTCGTTGGCTCCATGAGAATTAGGACCAGCCCTGGGCACCTCAGTGCTGGAAAACTTGGAAGACAGGGAACCTATGCACTATCCTGTCCAGTCTCCTTTAAAAGAAGGTCTTCTTAAGCTCTTCTACAAATTTCTCGTCCTCAAAAGGCTTCCTCTGGCTGCCGGGCTGGAGAAACTTCTTCACTGTGGGCAGGTTGCTGACTCTGGTTCTCAGGGCCTGCAATATAAAAACCTCAAAGTGAGGCCCAAAGCAGTATATCCCAAAGAATCTGAGCCCCCTCCTGAACGAAAACCAAATAACTCCCTTCAGCAACATGAAGGAAGAGCCTGGGGAACAGATCATAGAGGCAAAGAGCGGGAAGTAAGGCTGAACAGCCCTACCTTCTGGTGCACCCCGAAGACTTTAGTCATCCCCACCTCCCTTCTTGCTCTTGAACCATACAGCGCTGCCCCCAGTGGAAAGGAAAAGGAAGAGAAATGTCGGTCAGATGTCAAGACTGAGAAACCCTCACACAGGTGAAATCAAGATACTGAGTAGGAATGATGACAATATAGAGCGGGAAAACCAGAGTCCAGACTTAATGGATTTATCACAGTGAGAGATGGGGAAGAGGGGTTTCTGTGTTTGAGGAGTATGTGCCCACGCTGAGAGAAATACATTGTCTGCTAATGGGGGCTGGATCTGAGAGACAGAAACCAGATAGGAAGAGAGCTGCTAAGAATAGACTTGGTGTACAATGATATGGGCATCTGGGATCAGGAGAATCCCAGAGAAATCAGGATCTGAACCCGCAGTGGAAAGGGAGCTTGGGGAGAGAGCTGAGTGCTGGCATCGTCTCATTGTACAAGGTCAAATTATACTTGTTGAGGTAGTGTCTAGGCCAGATTTCCTGGTCCAACAGGACTCTCTTCACACTCCAGAAACAGGCCTGGAAGACCATTTTCCGTTTGGACTCAAGACTGGATATGGCTAAATGCCAGCTGCCCCACAGTATGCAAAGACTTGGGCCACGAGCGAGCGGAGGGCTGACTGTGAGGGCATGAGCTATCTCACCTGAAGCAGGGGGAAGCTGGCCACAATGCTGTCATTCAGCTCCTCCACGTGGTAGAGAAGTTCAACCACATGAATGTCAGCCCTGCTCAGCCGGTTCCCAACAAGGTAGTCTTGCCCATGGCCCTTCAGCACCTGCAGAATTTAGGAAATTGACCCAAGAACATAAACAGTCAGGTGGAACACCAGTATTTCCCTGACCCATTCAGTCCAAATCTCCTTCTGGAGACTCCTGGAGGAAGTGTAGAGTCCTGGACCTCTCTCTCGCGCGGACCCTGACATGAAGGATGGGGAGACATGAGGTCTGCTATCGCCTCCATTAAAGCCAAAAGGATCCCTTCATTTTCATCCCACATGATATTCACATCCCACGCCTGTTCCTGCATTTTACCCATTGTCAAGGGCTTACCTCCTGCTGCGGTTTCTCCCTGTTCACGCCATCCTAAAACTGGCAGTTTCCCCCCTCAGCTCTCTCTATACACAATGAAAAGTTGCTCAACTTTCACAGCAGGACCCTTCATCCATGAGTGGGCCATTTTTGTGTCTACAGTTCTCCTCTTGTCTGTTTTCCTCATCTTATAGATGTCTCTGGGATCGAAAGTCAACTTGAGAGACTGAGGTGATAGCTTAGTTGGTCAAGTGTCTGGTAAGAAAGCGCAAGGACCTGATTTCAGATCCCCAGAATCCACTTTTAAAAATGGGACAGGGGGCTGGACCAATGGCTCAGCAGTTAAGAGTACTGGCTGCTCTTCTAGAGGTCCTGGGTTCAGTTCCCAGCACCTACTTGGTGGTTCACAACTGTCTATAACATGGGATTGGAGGCTCTCTTCTGGAGTGCATCTATATATATAGACAAAAAAACCCCCCCCCTTTTCCTTAAATTAATTAATTGTTTTTTTTAAAAAGTGGGACATGATGATACATGCGTGTATTTTTGTTTTGTTTTGTTTTTATTTTCCAGACAGGGTTTCTCTGTGTGGCCATGGCTACCCTGGAACTCACTCTGTAGACCAGGCTGGACTCAAACTCACAGAGCTCTACCTGTCCCTCGCTCCCTGGTGCTGTAATTAAAGGCATACACCATCACCACCCAGCTCAGTGCTGGCACATGCCTGTACCTTGGGAGATGTAGCAAAAGCAGGCGAGCACCTGAAGCTTATCGGCCTGCCAGCCTAGCAGAATGATGAGCTTTAGCTTGCATTTTAAAATAAAGGTGGAGAGTGATTGGGGAAAGATAATTGGTATCAGCCTGGGACCTCCACCTGCGTGCACATGCATACACACCACGTACAAAAACGTCACTCATGCTCATGTGCTCACAGTGAAATTAATAAAGACAATTTGAACCACCATCTTGGCAACAACGGCTTTCATTCTTAACACTGTGGCGTAATTGGCAAGCTGGAGTGTGGAGGGTAACTGAACTTAGGCCTGTACCTAAGAACTTGTTTCACTGGTGGAGAGTGGGATGGAGAGATGGACAGATATGATGAAGACAACCCCATGGGATGTCCAACCCTCTACATCCATGGTGAGTGTCATGTGGCCTCTAGAACATCTCTCAGCTTTTTTCATTGTATGAAAATTAGATGACAACTGGGGAGGACTAATACATGATATTTAAGATCCATGAATAAGAGAAAAAAAACAAACACACACGGAACTACCTGTTAAAGATATTTGTCTTTATGTCCCAATAAACATATTGGGAGAGAATAAATACAAAAAGAAGTATGAATGATTGCTTGGTATAAAAACAAAGCACAACATATTTTTTACACTTATTATATCTGTTTGTGTGAGTGTGTGTGTGTGTGTGTGTGTGTCTGTCTGTCTGTCTGTCTGTCTATGTCTGCTGTGTCTGTGTGTCCACCTGCCACAGCACCTGTGTGGAGGTCAGAGGCCAACCCAAGGGAATGGGTTTTCTCCCTCTATGACGTGGGTCCCGGGGATCAAACTCAGGTCATCGGGTTTGGGAGCAAGCACCTTCACCCACCAGACCATCTTTTCAGCCCGTGTAATTTACACTATGCGATTACACTCCAGGAATACTTTGTTGTTGTTGTTGTTGTTGTTGTTGTTGTTGTTGTTGTTGTTGTTGTTGTTGTTTTGAGACAGGGTTTCTCAGTGCAGCTTTGGTGCCTGTCCTGGATCTCGCTCTTAGACCAGGCTAGCCTCGAACTCACAGAGATCCGCCTGGCTCTGCCTCCTGAGTGCTGGGATTAAAGGTGTGCTCCACCACCGTCCGGCATGGAATACTTTTATTTCATAGTATAGGTGACTTAAGTGTTAAGAACGGCTGTGGAGATGATCATCACGTGACGTGCCTTACACTATCAGTATCACAAAGAGCGGGGTAGGAGATCTGATCATAGGCTGGCAGCTGCTTACCTTGGACCCAGCACACAAGCAATAACTTAACATTGGTTGGATGGATGAATGAATGATCTAATGCTCCCCAACTTAAGCAATAATTCCTTTATTTATTTACAAGTCTGTATTGTTTGTGCCCAGTTTTTGACTCATGATCTTATTCAGCCTGACTTCAGGTGATTTCCATCTTAAAATATTTATCTCACATACAGAGAGAAGTCTTAGTGAGGCAGGTAGGTACTAGATACAATATCAGGAAAATATCCCTAAATTCTGGAGATTTTTAAAAATATAATTTCATTTCTTTATTTTATATGTCAGTGTATAAACTTCCTGTCTCTGAAATATTTTTTTCAGAGATATGTATTTTCCAGATGGGCAGCTGGTCTCAGGTCTCCTGGCCCTTGGTGTCAGATGATCATCTAATGTGTTGCTTTCATCCTGTTGATTCTGAGTCAACATCACAGTGCCCTGCAAGATCTATTCCAACCTCTAATGTAGTTAACATCACAGTACTCTGCATGATCTATTACAGCCTCTAACGTAGTCAACATCATGGTGCCCTGCATGATCTATTCCAACCTCTAATGTAGTCAGCATTACGGTGTTCTCCAAGATCTATTCTAACCTGTAATGTGGCTCAGACCTTCACACAGCCCAGCTCTAATTGTGACCATGAAGTTATACCATACTGAAAATTCTAGTAAAGTCAATTGTTCTGAAACTAGTGATCTCTGACATAACTAGAGCAATGCCTCTACACAATACCTTCAGAATTGGGGTGCTAGACTAATCCTCATAGAAGTCCTTTG